TCCCCCTCGCCCCTTCTCCCTCCCCCCTTCCCCCTCGGTAAACGTAAACATATACTCTAACACTGCACACATGTCTCTTTCTTTCTCAGCCCCAGGACCCCGCAGCATTTGGAGACGATTTCGCTCGTATGGCACGTGATGTGTTATTGACCCGCTACAGACTCTTGCCATATTTGTACACTCTGTTTGCGGAGGCGCACACCACCGGAAGTGCTGTGGCCAGGGCTCTTTTCTACGAGTGAGTTCTTTGTTCTTGAAAACTAGAAATGTAATTTTTGATAGAGTGAATCTCTTAAACAGCCGTTCTTAGTGCAGATGAGCTTGTTAACTACGATATAATTTTCCGACGGGTCATTTACGTGCATGAAGGATCCGTAAACCTTTCTTGGGTCTGTCAGCTCTGCCATACTTACACAGTCAGGTGTGAATGACTTGTCCCGAGAAGTAACCAAACATCCCGCGAGAAGGACCTGTATGACAATCTTGTTGGGTAAATTTTCGGAGTACAGTGGGACCCCGCTACAACGCAGCCGTAAGCAAAGAGACTGTGGTTGTATTCATAGAGTATCAAAAAATGGGCTTACAGTTGTCAAGTCGGTCTTCCGTAGTCAAAGGGAAGTGCGTCAACAGCATATCAATTGATCACTCTCATGCAGTTAATTACTTGCTTTTATTCTGGTTGCGTTTAGGTTTCCAAACGACAAAGAAACGTATCCTATGGACAAGCAGTTCCTTCTTGGACCGGCCTTGCTTATAACACCAGTCTTAGTTCAGGTTGGTAGTGCGCTCTTCTCTCTGTGTCAGTCATACCTGCATGTTGCATATTTTCGGCATACTTTTCAGCATACTTTCGGCATATTTTCGGCATCAAGTAGCCTGCTGGGCCACTTGGCACGCACGCAGACCTTACCGACATTGTATCTATATCGAAGAGATCCTTGCAAGTTCCTTTTTTTTGAGAGGGTAGTTTTAACAGGTCCCTGGCGCCGATCCTGTAGTTATGAACAATTAATCATGCACGTAAAATCAATTATTGCAAGAAATAAACCATTCATTAATGCAATCTCTTGAATTGAACACATGCTACATTTTCAGAAAACTGAAAATGTAAGGAATGGTAACTGAAGTGAGTGGAGTGCACATACGCGAGCAGCGCGAGTTCGATTTGAAATCACAAATATGATTTCCGACCAAAATTGCACTCCACTCAGTTCAGTTGCCACTTAATTATAATTACATCCGTTTTGAAATCGCACAATTTAGTAGCCGAAATACAAGAATTACAAGGCTTTTTTTTATATTTCATTTTCCTGCAATGTGTTTGTTAGTTTGAAAAAGCCTTGAAATCTGATTTGTTGTTTTGTTTTAGTATTCCAATCTCTTTGGCCAGGAAAAAGATGCAATTTAGAGCAAAAGATAGTGCGATTCGTGAATAAATCACCCCGCTTGGAGCCAATCAGATTTCAAGGATAACCAGTGGTTTCAAAATGAATGTAATAAAGCCCGGAGGCAGTTAATTGTTTTACATAGCTCTGTTGTCAACAGTCTTCTCCTCTATAAGTTATTTTACGTGGAGTGACGTTACTCTTTTATATCTTGTTCTTTTCAAGGGATCCACCTCAGTTAAAGGTTATTTCCCAGATGCCACATGGTATGACGGTTTGGATGGGTCCATTCTACAAACCTCTGGGGGAGGGGGTCAGTATCACACGCTGTCAGCCCCCTGGGATAAAATCAACTTCCATTTTAGAGGAGGACATGTCATTACAACACAACAGCCAAATATCACCACTTATTACAGGTAAAATAACCAACGATAATGGAAAGTGCTGTGACCAAATGACCACGTGACCACGTTGGACTCTGGATCGAGAGGGTCTGGGATTGAGCGCTGGACGGTCTTCCGTTATGTCTTCGTAAAATATGGGCGTGACGCTTCATCCCCACCGCTGCCGTGGTGGCGGAAGAGAGAAAAAATTAAGAAGGCGTTTTTATTTCTGGAATCGCGCAAGTATTGACGGAATAAAATATTTTGTCGTTGGTGATTCTTGCCGATCTGTTCTCCTTAGGACGCTGAAAAACAGGATACAAAACAGCTGCAAGACGATAACAAAGAAACAAGAAAATTCACGAGCCTCTTCTTTAGACTGAGACAAGATTGCCCTCAACTACACTTTGTAGTCACTGAGTTTTCAACTTCATTTGACCGTTTCACTAGTTTGTCTTTCTGTCCTGTACCTTATGTAACTCAATACCATATTTTAGGAACTTTCTTCTTCCCATTATTTGAGCTGGAAAGCAGTAAGAATGCGCGTTTGAACGCAGAACGAAAACTGTTTCTGCGCCAGCGAGTTAATGTTTGATTGTTCTGTTGACTTTTGTCTGGAGAGTTAGTTATTTCTAATTTATTTCTTTTTTATATTTGTTGCAGC